TATTATTATTAATTAGTATTTTTTTTTTTTTTTTTTTTTTTTTTTTTTTTTTTTTTTTTTTTTTTTTTTTTTTTTTTTACTTTTCTTCTATACTCTTATATTCAGTCGTTCGAAATATTCTTCCGTGAGTCAATTTTATTAATCAGCAATCAATTCTGTACAATATCTGGAATGAATCAAGTACAAGATATAGTACAATAAGTTAGGAGGACCAAATCTTCTTGGAGATACATTACGATGAGAAAGAAGTCATATGTACAGCAAAGAACAATAATATATAAGTAGATTGTGCTTAGTTTTTCCTTTGTTTCATTGAAATTAATAAAATATTCGGTTAATGAAATAAATGTAACGAAAAATCGTTTAAGTAAATAAACTGTTGAAAATTACGATTAAAGATTTGTTTTTGTTTTTATTGTAAAAAAAAAGATGTGCTTTATCTTTCTACTTGATTTTACTTATTTGATAACTTATTTGTCGAAGATATCTGCTTACAAAAATAAAAAAAATGTGTCAATATCGAACAGAAGTTAATATCGAACAGAACGAATTTGTGATCGATTAAATAGTTAAGTACAAAATAGATTGATTTATCGATGAACACTTTCGGCACAAGTTAGATCTACAATCATACACTATTTCATAATTTCTCCTTGTCCATTTTCTTTTTTATATCAAAGGCCTAGAAAATCCAAAATTTTTGATCATCCTCCTATAAATTATTAATTATGTTTTTATATTATAATCTATTTGTTATAAAAAAAAATTCGGTAGAACCGATTTTCATTTTGTATTCATATTCGAAATTAAAATTTTAAATTTTAAAATGAATAATAAATATAGAAAATTCTCTACATGCCAGATAAAAAAATATAGGCAAAAGAATAAATAACTTAAACAAATACAATTAAAATATATTAAATATCCAAAATGAAAATGAATGACGAAACCTCAGAGTCACGTGACCGAATACATAGAATAATAAAAATTATAACGACGTTAAAAAGAGAAATAAACTACAGAAGAATATATATTCAAAGAATAAAAATCAATTGTTAAAATTCTATGTAATAATGTCTATTAAATACTCTGACTTCATTGTATTGTGAAAGGTGCTACCAAGGATGAAGAAGCTCTTTGACTCTGCGAGGGAGAAAAGTTGACGTCGATACCCAGTAAAAGACTAAAAGACTAAAAGATGACCAATATAGGCAAACTGGATAATTATAACAATTTGAAACTTAAGCGATCAGGCTTAGTCGCTAATGGTTCTCAGTCTATCAGAAAAATTTCTAATTGCATTCGTTATTCTACAAAACTCAATGCCCTCCTCCTTATGATTTCATGATCATCTTACATTAACTATCATTATGCCATGACGTCCCTACAAAGAAAATCTCGTTTCCTGAATATTTGTCTCTTTGGATGTATACGGGACATAAATATTAAAGATTGCACATACGTATTTTTTTTTCTCTCTTAATATACACGAACCAGTCGTACGTAGCGCGAATTATATTGGCATGCATGTATATATTCATGCGATCATGATTTACTTAGTAATAATAATAATAATAATAATAATAATAATAATAATAATAATTATAATTATAATAATAATAATAATAATAATAATAATAATAATAATAATAATAATAATAATATAGTCTGTTGATTTGTACTTCGTGGAAAATAGTAGAGAAGAAAGCAAAAAAGAATTGAATTGAATTGAATTTCGTAGTTGAATATGAGGTTCGTAAAAAAAATTCGTTCAAAAAGTCTGATGAAGAAATATCGGCGCGGGATAATTCTTCGAACGCTTGTTTTTCTCAATTTCGAAATTTGTATAATATGAACATGTAATAATCTTGCCTGTCTACTTGCATATTTTTAAATGAATTCTTTTCTTGTTGTTAACGCTGTATTCCATATACTATGTACGCGTGCAATTATTTTTGATTCTAATTGTAAAATTATTCATGCTTTAATAAAATAGTATATAGAATCAGGAAATAATCGAGATAAAAATTTAAATTTAGTTTCCTCTTGAATTCATGATCGAAAAATAAAATCTGGTTGTGATATTATTTTTATTCATGAACATGCGATTAAATAGTTATAGCGCCCTGACACAAAGATAAAAAAAATAATATATATATATATATATAAATAAATAAGTATATATACATATACTGTAGGTCCATATATGTATATACATAGTATGTGATATTGTATAAAATGTACATGAAATTAAAAATACTTTTTTGCAAGGAGCAATTTTACATGAGTATCGACGTATTAATTCTTGAATAATTTGTCGTGCAAAAGGCACAACACATTACGAGATGTATAACTCTATAAATATAATAATTTATCGAACAATAACAATTTATCGAACGATAACAATACGGGATAGTATTATTATGACATATAATATTAGTATAAATAATATTATATAACTTTGGCCTCTTTATACAATTATTACTATAAATCGTTCCAATAAAAAAAAATACAGACAAAGAGACAGTTAGCACCCGTCAGACAAAAAAAAAGTTATTCTCTGAATCAAAGAAATAACGGATTTTTCTCTCTTTTCAATAATTACATTCTTATATGTGTTATGATAACGATTTAAAACTTAGAGTTTAAAACTTAGGAATTACACTAACGGAAATTATTATTTTTCCATATAATTATTTTTCTATTTTAAGCGATTATGATTGGAACATTTTAATTGACATTTAAACTTTTACATAAAATAATATCTAAAAAAAAAAAAAAAAAGAAAAAGAAAAAAAATAAGCGATCCAAAAAATGTTATGTTATTTTACATTACAACAATTAATATTAAATTGTAATAATTATTCCATTTGAAACCACATTCGGCACACTTTTAATTCTAATCTTTCACTTCATGTAATTGATTATTTTCTGAGCTTTTTTTTTATCCTGCGTTATTTATTTAAGATCCCTTGGTCCATCCCATTAAAAAAAATTCTACTAACACAATTGTGCAAGTTTGTACGTCGAAAAGAAACAAAAAAAAGAAATACAGAGAGATAGAGAAAAAGAAGATAATATTAAGAAAGAAAAAGAGGAACAGACGAGACCAGCGAGATTTGGTCAATTCAAAGGTGGAAATTTATCTTAATGGACATCCTCAGCTCTTGGCAGCCAAGTTCCAGGAAAGAGGAAGAGGAAAGAAGGAAGACGATGAACGAGAAGATATATGATGACCACAAATTGGTAGAAAATCTGGAGAAGCTTCAGAACAAACATCCATCAAATCTAGATCCATGATTTTTTGTACATCTGTTTGCATATTGTCTCTCTTATACGATTGTGTAAGTTCCTGTACACTGTATATGTCTGTTCTGCACGTTGCAATCTGAAACGAAAGAAATAAGAACTGTAGTCACTGTAGGCTTTATAATGAATTGTTTAACACGTCAACTAGTGTGACGGTTACCACTATGGTTAGTCTACGATACTTGATTAATGTTATTTTAGCTTTTGACAATATTTTTCGTTCGAAAAATTTGATATAATTAATTTTTTATATATATTTATAATTCTGCTTATAAATACACTTCGAAAATATGATAAGAAATATATTTTTTGATGTATATATACACATGCACATTTAATATTTACATTCGAATTTATTTTTAGAATTTTTCTAAATCTATATATTTATGTGTTTTATTTACTTTATATATTGTATATGCAAATATTTTTATTTATTTTGTTTACTGTGCACAAAAGTCATATTAATTATCAATGACGTAATTAAATTATATTTTTATCAACATATTTTTATCTTATCATTTCTGACCGATAAATAATAAATTCATGAATTATGCTTAATTGCTTGTAACCTTTCAAATAACTTGTTCAATAATTATCATTATCTAATCCAAATATTTTTATTTATCTAATATCCAATAATATATAATAAATAATAATATTAATAACAACTTTCGTAGATAAAAAATCTTCTGTATTAAAATTAGTTTTCGATTAGATAAAAAATACATTTTGAAAATATAATTATAACAAACAATAATTCGATCGATATAGTGTCAAGATTATCTAGCCAACCCACATGTCTAGACGTCTTAAAGTTTTTATGAAGTTTACAAAACGTGTTATGGTATAACTATGTGCAATGTGAGGCGATATATGTATATGATCCTGTGCCACCTTTTAACCACGCCTTAACTGGACATACATACCGGTTTATATATATATAAGATCGCTTTATATTGTATATATACATATAAAAAATATAACTCTTCGATACTTAAAAGATGTATATTAAAATATCTTAAATATTCTATTAATTGTTAAAAAATTATGAGTAATCTAATCTCTAAAAAAATAATCTTTTCAAAAGACGCAAAGTTGAAAGAAAATTTTTAGAACTGGTGCATTAAAATTTTTAAGAAACACGTGTTTTTGAACCTTGAACTAATTTGTTTTTATAGCCTTTTTTTCTTTAGTCCATGGACTAATTTTATTCATATAATTATTTTAACTAGTTTGCAAAACGGTAAGAATTCTTATATTTATCGTTCGACGTTATCAATCATAGCTTTCGAACGACTATGTAAATTGTGACATGATGATATAGATCAATTTAACTGCGACACAAACTGGGTTAATATATGTAATAAATCTAAATTGCGTTTAGATTTTGTAAGTTTTTTTTACAAATCTCTAATTAATATAATTGTACATTGTAAATTGTAATATGTTGTTCATATTTATACTTAATCTTCAAAGTTCAAAGCTTTGCATGAATCAGGGAAGTATTAAGTATAAACTACTTTATGCTAATATGTACATAGAATGAATTCACATTTGTCAGTCTGCTGGCAGTAGGCCAAGGTTTCGGTTACTTATTCTTTTGGCCATGAAATCATTTGCAATTTATAAATCACTTAAGTCGTTCTAAAATTATATATCGTTATTTTTAAGATATTTAGAAAGTGTATATAAACATAAAGAGGATTCTAAGATAAATATCAGTATATAAATATCAACTATAAATATCACACGTTATTAAAAAATACACTGAATGTTAATATTTTTTTTTAAGAAATCTGCATTATCAAATAAACTTGAAAAGTAAGCTTTATCATATTTACTTTATAATTTCGTTATCGTTTAACCGTAAACGCATAAAAATAAGACAAATTAATATTTGATCATATGATTACGATGAAAGAAACAAATATAATCATATTTTTAAATTACTGCGATGTAAGTACGGTAAATTTGTTGATAATAATATCTTTAATTGAATTCGCGTGACCTGAAAGAAGTTCATTCGCACTCAACAGAGGCAAGTGTCCGCTTGTGGAACTTACGACATAAAGGTGCTCTCACAAAAACCAATTTAAAATCATTGTATAAGAGGTGAATTATAATTTTTTTTTTGAAAAAAAAATATATATATATATATATATATATAAAATGTCAATCTATAAAGATTATTTATAATTTAATACATAATACAAGTGATTGAAATTATAATATTGCAATATTGCAATTCATAAGTATCTTATTTTTTATTTTTAACAAATAATAATTCATGTTCCTCTAAATTAAAATTGCAAAAATTAAAGTAAATTTTCTAATATTGTTTTCTTGTATAAAAATTTGAACCGATTGTGAAACTGGCATAACGAATGAAAAGGAGTGAAAAAGAAACGAAGACGAAGAAACAAATATATCTTGTCAGGCGCGGTAACAACCTTTAGTTAAGGCGATTAGAGTCAGGCGACTCGTTGGTCGCGGTTGTTATCGTCGCACCACGCCAGATTGTTATTTATAGAGAGAAAGTTTAAACGTGCGTGTGGAGGATGGAGAAAAGATATATGTTGTGACATGGTTATTTTTCGCAAATTTTCAAGGCGATTTAAGCTTTAGAAAGGATCTGCGCAACGTTATTCACGACTCGAATCGCAAGATTATGCTGATTGGCATCAATGACATTGTCGTTCCTTTGCTACGATCCTTTTTGAAATCATGCACAAGAACGTTCTTAAAAAAATATTTATACGGCCAATACATATGGCAATGTTACAAACTTACTCACTTATAATATTATATGAACTTTATGCTATTATCTAATACTAATAAACTGTTGATGAATTTATTTAATCTTATATTGATTTTCAGTATCTCTGTAATGAGATTTGTGGAATTGATTCTATTTTTAATCTTCATTACCTATTGAGGAAGATTATTAATGAAAAGTATCGCTCGCAATAAGAAGACTAATAAAATGTAACGCAAAACTCGTTAAAGTGAATTCAGGATTGTTATATATGCATAGTAGGTTGTATTATATGTACAAGATCAACTTACCATAAATGTAACGCGACTAGTGCCTCCTTTCTCGCCTGTTCCGCGCTATCGACCTCTGATTATGTCTCTTTTTCTTCCGTTAAAGCATATTCTTTTATAATTTGAACTTAAATCACAGTCCATCGCTTCCCTTCTTTTGTCATTATTCTCTTCTACGTTCCTTTGATCTTGATGTCCATCTTTACACTTATACGCTATCGTGTGAATATTACACGTGTTTTCGTACGATAATCTTGTGTATACGTAGATATATTGCCACCTCGTCCCGCATGGTCTACGTCTTGTGATCGTTAAATCAGATAGATTGGAAGAATTCGTACGACATTTGTACATCGTTTGTGACCAGTGACAAAAATTCACCAGTATGGAGCATCATTTGCAAGATGCTGCCAGGATGCGAACTCGCTCCACGTGCGTACGTTCGCTTTGGTTGCATCTGTGATCCGTGGTATACTATCTCGGTTATTGTTCTTTGAAAAGCCATCGCACGTTGTCAAAATATCGTATCGTTTGGGTGGTGCTCGTGGCTACAACATATGAAAATATTGTAACATTTTAAATTATTACATTCAATTGTTGCGTATCAGTAAATGATAAAGCGAGATGAAATTGAAACAAAGAAACAAAAAAGAGTAATAATAGAATAGGATAGGATATAACATCTCAATAATCTTCTTGGCAAGTAGAAAGATATAAAGTATAAGATAAAATATAAAGTACTTTTCAATATAAATTCAGCCTCGAGATATATGAGATAGAAATTACAAGTTGACATATAAAACACTGTTGAAAAAAAAAATCGTATTTTAGATTTTTAAATATAAAAAAATCAATGTTAAATATAATACCTCTAACTTTTTTCGAACGATAAAATTCTTTCCCTCGTTGTTATCCCAATATTCTTTCCCATCGGTTCGATATCGTACACAAAATTCTATCACATTTGATTTCAATGGTAGAGTTAATCGGAAGCGGAAGGTATCGTAAAGAATCAGGGCCGGAGAACCCGGTTGTTCAACATAGGTGCAATGAACGTCCTCGTGTGTCTTCCAAGAATCGTTGCTCACCCTGACCACGACTTCCTTGTCATACGCCAGATTACGTACCTTGATGGTACCTACTAGACACTGTTCCGACTCTTTCACTATCACGTTTTCCAAGCTGACATTCTCCTGATCGAGTTTCTGACGGAAGGCTAAATAATCGCTCGCCGGTTGAGGGAAAGTTACTTGCCAAGGTGACACAAGTTCTATAGATTGATCATTCTCAATTTTCGAATTTAAAAGTCGCCCTGTTAATCCTGCCAAGTAAGCTGTGCTCCACAGAGGTGGCACGTTACTGGGTTCCGACATTACACGTACCTATAAACAAAAAAATAAAGGCGATAAAATATTTTATTTTATATTTCAATCTTTTGTTGATTACAGAATTCATTGTCATATATGATTGAATAATGTTACTTGAGTAAAAAAAAAAAAAAAAATCAGAATAAAACTGAAAAAAATAATAAGAGAGAATTAAAAATATCATTTATATATAATAATTAAATATATATATATATAGGAATATATAAAAAAAATAATAACATAAAATAGAAAACAATTTAATCAAAATCATAAAATTCGAAAATAATATATTATAAGATTAGATGGTATATAAGAAAGTTTAAGTACAAACAGAAATTCGAATAAAATTTCTACCATAGGCTGAGTCATTTTATTTTCTTTCACAAGACAAGATTATTTATTACTTTCTTTTAAAAGAAAAAAGTGAGATTAAGAATGAATACCTGAGTAAGAGGACGGCCACGGTCATCGGCAAACACCACTCTTTTCTTTTGTTTATTACTACCGTCATTATTGTTTCGAATATTGTTTATGGCCAAGGAACCAGATGACAGACATGGCCTTATCCTGGGTGGTACCGACCTGCTAGTAATTGTCGGTGCCGTTACCACCAAGGGACTGTATAGCAGCGAGCTATACACTGGAGGACTATGCCCCAGAAGCAATTCAGCTGGCATCGCTATGGAACACATTTAGATCTGGAAAAAAATTTTTTTTAATTTTTTAAAATACTACTTTCACTTCATTTAAATTTATTACTATTAAATTTTATTATTTTACTATTAACACATTCTAAACACGTTGTAAGAAAATTTAATATTCTAATTTTTTAAATTTATACATTAGAATTCACTAAATTCTTATTTTATATAAATAAAATAATAAAAATATCTTTCTTTTAATTAATAAAAATTAAATAATATAAAAATATGAATCGTATTTTATTTTTAACGTTTGACCTTTCTTCCAATGAAATCTATATATAAAATATATTAATATGAATTTTTTAAAATAATATTTAAACAAATTACATAATTAATTGTAATTTGTTATTAATTACATAATAATATATAAAAAATTGTATTATAAAATTGTAATTATTTAAATTATTAAATCATTTGTTGAGAATGTTTACGAATTGGACAAGAGAATTCAATTTCAATATCGCAAAGATCTTTTAACAATCGCTATGAGGAAATAGGAATTCGCATTGCATGCATGATTTAAGCGTCAAATCTTTAATAGCGAGGAACGCGTATCAATCACTGCCAAAAATTTCGTCAACAATATTACAAGACCGTGTCGTTAGATCACGTGAATCATTCTGGGTAACCACGATATTAAGTTAAGTCCGAAATTACTGGAATTCGATAAATATTAGCAGATATACGTAATAAACTGAACCGTGAAGAGAGGAAGAAAGAGAATTAATTATACATCCATCTATTTATCTCAATAAAATTTTATCTGCTTTTGTAATAACTCAATCTATTGACTAACTTGTGAATAAATTTCTCTCGATGAAGAAAAAATTATCGTAAAATAGAATATATAATAATTATTTTTTTCAAACTTACGTTACTGAATTAATTAAATTTTTCTTGATTACGTGAAACAAGTGTAAAGTTGAATTACTTATTATTGATTATTACTTTTATTATCGATTTTTAACAAAACGATAAAATGCTTAGTCGTTGTTATCCCAAAGAATAGTACAGACTGAAAATTTTGTACAACTCTATCACAGTGAAGTGTCTTGTGCGACAGGATAGGTGCGTGTGGTCATGTTACCCTGGAGTGGAATTACGACTTTAAATGTGGCAATAGTCTCTTCTCTTGTCCCTCGAGACTTGCTTGCGAACCAGACTCAACATGTACCAGACCGGAACCAAGCAAGTACGCATACATGTCTAAAAAGTATTACAGCAATATCATGAATCAGATATTTTGAGTTTCAGATATTTCCATTTATTGCGAGATACTTATCATTTTTATTTTTTAATAGATTTTCTCTATTAATATGATTCAGAACAATAACAAAATTATTATAGAAAATATTCTTATAGAAAAAAATCAAAAGATATCTTCTTTCCTCTTTAAATAAATTTAATTCCTAATAGTATCGGTCAAGAAAATTATTTTTTTTTATAAAAAAAATTCATGATTTTATTAAAAAAAAATCGTATTAAACGTAATAGTAGTATGTAGTAGTCGTCATAAAAAACAAAAGGTCGAGGTTAAAATAATTGCTCTTGAACATTGTTTATCATTACGCGAACGAAGTGTCAGGGTCAAGCTATATAATCTGAAAAAAAAAGGAAGAGGAAAAAGTGGCAAATGCTTATCTCATTTATTATATGGTCCATAATGATACTTTCAATTTACTGTCACGTTCACAAGAGCTGCAATACTCGTATTAAATCGATCTTTATATATATCTTTTATTTATGTTGATATAAGATTAATCTCATTTAGTTTTACGAATTCATCGAAAAAAAAAATATATTACATATATTGCAATATTCAAATAATAAAATTTTCCAGTTGTTATTGCGTGTCCAATTTCTGCAAGTTGTTGCAAAATAACTGTTGCTCATGATTAAGTTAGGTTTATATTAGATAGGAAATTTTCCATGTCTAAAATTAGCATATATATAATTAGCATATCATATAATTCGTTTTTTCGATATTCATTATTAAGTATTATTATTAAATATATGATCATTTGGTATTAAATTTTATATAAAATATTACATTGTATTAAAAAAGATTTATATTCAAAAATTTAAATGACTTGAAGTACTTTGAAATAACAATATAAAACATATTTGAATTTTAATGAATCTTCATTCGAATTTTAAAATAAATATGTACGTATAAATTTTATCATACTTTTAAGGAAAATAATTAAAATGACTATTTTGCGTTTTTTAATTTGAATAACATAACATATATGGAAGTCGAAATATGTATATTGATATTAATTTTTTAATACAAAATCATCATTCTCGCTGATAAACTTGTTTTGTATTTTTTTTTTTTTATATCATGGCGCCGCTATTCTTAAAAGCTATTGATAAATACAAGAAATAAATATTCTCGCAAATTTGTAACATGATCTCTTTTGACCAATAAGAAAAGAATCCATAAAAGAGCCTATTAGGTGAATGACCCCTTATTTGATGAAAAAGCTGATGGAAACTTTCTTGTTTATCGATTTATCGATATATTAATAATATAATATTTACAATCGTACAATTGTCACGTGTCTAAATTTGTAATGCGTAGAATCATACGTAAGAAACATTATGATGTAACAGTTGCGTAAAGTAATTCTTATTCTCGCGCAAACACGAAATATCATACGAGGAGAGAAAATATAAAAAATAGTAGCTTGTATATTGAATTGATAAAAAAAAATAAAAAATAATTTATTTTTGTGAATCATACTGACGATAAAAAATGTATATTTAATTAGATAAATCTTAGTCACGCACGAGACAATACATTATGTCATCATAATATTTCATAATTTATTATGGAATTTTATAATAAGCTATGATGAATCATTTTGAGATATTACGCGATCAAGAAAATGCCAAATCGTTTCTTAATCTAACCCAAATAATCTTTTAATTTGACTTAGATTTCGATTATCAATATTTCGTATATATAGTAATTCGGAATGCCTAATTAAACAATACTTAAAAGGTCAAAAGTAAATCATTAGCAAATTTGGACGAATGGTTTTGTAATGAATAAGCATGTTCACGTTTCGTGACTCGAGAAGGAAATGTGCGCAGTCGTTGTGCTATTTTGGATAGTACTGTGATTAAAATTAGCGTGGCGCATCTTCAAAACGCTACATACACCTAGATGCGTTACGCCCTTGGAGCCAAGCCAATTGTCTGATTTCTATGATATACGACTTTACCACGATTTCTTGAGAACAAATGGATAACTTATATAAATACTATCTAATACGTGTTGAAAGAAAGGAAAAAATTCTATTGACTCTTTGAAATTAGTTTATCGACCTATGGTAAATGGTAAATAAAGCGCATCGTATGTAAATAACGCCCCGTCTTTCTAACCTCTAATTCTCTAATGGAAAAATAGGTACAAGATCCATGCTAGATACACGTATGTCTACAAACGGTATTAACTTATGACATCTAGCTATCGATTGACGATTACTTAAAATAACTCTTTGCTAGACTGAAAGATAATCTGATTTATATTTAAATTTTTTTTGTTCCTGTTCTGTTTATTTAGTATTTAGAAATTTAAAAATTTGAAAAGTTCGTGCGTAGATATTATTAAGTGAAATATATATTACAATGCATTTGATTTAAAATGCAATATGCATGTGTGACACTTTAACCGCATTTCTCTAATTTCAAATAAAGTATATTGTTTATTAATTTTTTTCTTTAAAATTGATAATTTCACATAAATTATTATTGAAGCAAGCGAAGAACCACTGTAAAAGATAGATAAGATGCATATTTCTCAGTCATTAACATTGATAAAATGTTATTTTTAATCCACGTTGAGAATGATTATAGAAAATTTATATTGAACGGTTATCATATAAATGTCGTGACAAAAAGTAATATATTATTTCAATACGATTGTTTCAATTATGATGAAATTCACTTCTATTGTTAATTACTATTAATCGCAGCTGATAACGAAAGGTCATGGGTTATTGGAAGTCACGTGTGGAATTAGACTACGACTAATCCGATAAAGTTGGGAAATGTACAAGTCCTTGACTTTTTGAGCCATAAAAATTTCAAAAAATTGATTAGATTGAAAACTTCATTAATCAATAATTTCCATGTAATTAATCAAAATATAATTATTAATTATAAAGATAAACAATGTATATAACATACAATTTATAAAAATAAATAAAAAAAAAAATTTATCTAAAATTGAAGTTGAAAATGATTTGAGACTTTAATATAATGAGATATTTAATCGATTATTGAACTAAAAATATCCATTAGGCGAAAATATTGCAATATTTTCTTATTTTTATTTACTTGTCTGCAACGAATCAATGCTCACCAGATATTAATTTGGATTGATTTTTATTCTTAATTAATTAATGAAAACTATTAATTAACCCATGTATTTAATTAATCTTCACGTATAAACATTTATCCCAGCCTGGAAACTATGTTAATATCATCAACCGTTACGTTAACGTAAAGTAATATAATGATAACAAGAGAAAGAGTTGAATAAATTATTTATATCGACATAACTTGTTTTAACATTTTGTTTGAATAATATATCGATGTTAATTATTCAAATTGTATCATTACATAATAAATCGATAATTTAAGACTACGAGTAAAAATATTTATAGCTAGAATATAGAGAAAAGAGATGTTATATATTCTGCTTGTAAAATTTTAATGAAGCAAATAAGATTTAACATACCTAATAAAATGATAATTATTTACCAAGATATTAAATTTTAAAACTAATTATTAATATAAATTTAATGTATCTTTCCTTATTCTTTTTTTGTATGATAATTTTTTTTATATAGCAAAAAAAGATTTTAGCAAAAAAATATTCTTAATATTCTTAAAATACTATTTCTTACATACTATTTCTTAAAATAAATTTTTGATGAATTGTACAACATATTGCATATTGTAAATAATTGATTTTGTATAAATATATATAAAAATTCGATTGAAAAAAAAAATTTCTGTAACCAGTTCACTTTTGCGAATATATGATTTAAGCGAGAAAAAAAAGAAAGAGTCAAAAACAATATATACAAAATAGTATAAAGAAATCGATTGGCGAAATTTGAATATCTTCTTTTTATAGCATCAGTTTCTATTACGTGTCTGGTTGCATGTTATTAAAGAACAGCCTTGAAAAATATGTGCTAATATTACTTATCCTTGAGCAACTTTTATTAATAAAATTTTAAAAAATAATTAATTTTTTATGAATAACAAATATAAAAATTAATCAAATGTTTAAAATAATTAAGTCATAAAATTTATATTTTATCACATTTATATAAAAAACAGCCACACACCTAAGAAATATTTTTAAAAATTTTATCAAATGATCTATCAATGGTATCATTAGTTCGTTATAAATTATTTGCTGAGATTATAAAAATTCTTGAAGATCAATTTTTCATTGATTGGAGACATCATTGAGATCGCCACTGAGATCCTCTGTCTCTTATCGCATTGTATTTCTGATTCGAAGCGGGCTGATAACCAATATATCCTTGCTGTCTGTATATCCTCAAGCGCGGAATCTTACCGGACAAAGTTTAATCTCCGAAACCATAAAGAATAGATGCGCGAGATATACCAATAAAAAAATAGAAAAGTTATATGTGTTTAAATGATTGGTGCAAGAGATCTTTGCACAAAATGTTGATTATATATATTCATGTATTTGTAAAGAAAATTATTTAATTTGAATTTTCAATTTTACAAAATTCTAAATTTTTTTAATTTAAAAGAAAATTTAAAAACGCTTAAAATTTAGAATTTTTGAATTTTGAAATATTTAAATATTCGATATTTTGAGAAAAATGCCAACGAGAATTTAATTTTATCGATAAAATAAATATCATACGTTTCAATCTCAAGTTATTCTTTTTCAATATAAAAATAATACAGACGATGTTTAAGATATTACAACTTGATTAAAATATATGTATATATATATTATATATAGTAAATTAATATATATAATTAATATATATTAATATATATAATTAAATATATTATAAATTAATATATTAATTTGGAAAAAAATGTAAATTGCATAAAGTTTATATTCGATATAATAATTTTATAAGAATGGTAATAAATTTAATTAAATAGTATAAATTTTGATATATTATTTTAAATTATCGAATAGATTTTAAATTGAAATAATTATATCCAACATTCGCAAAATATCCATAAGGAATGTACTACATGTAATGGATGTAAATTGCAATATTTTCTCTGTACTTTCTCCGGAAGTATATGGTGTCGCTGTATATGCGTGGGAATAATACGTGTAAACAATTCGTCTTATGTTCATACAATTGTTCCCCAGGTAGGCGTCTAAAGAGAAACGAGTGACCGGAAAACATAAGTAGATAAGTAAGTACTTAATACGGGAACATTAAGCATGCGTGCGTAAAAATGAATAAAATGGATTTTAAAAGAACAGTTAAGCTCAAAGTTAAGCTTAAGGTCAAAAAGAAATCCGTTAAAGTCTGAAATACGATCTTTGTAAATCATTATTAACCTTATAATGTACATTGTTTAAAGATTTCTTTTAAGTTGGAATAATTGAATCCTTTAATCCTTGAAAAAATAATAAAAACAAAATCTAGTTAAAATTATATTTTTTATTTATAAAAAACATTCAAAATAATTCTTCAAAAACTTCAAATGATATGGATTAAAAATATAGCTATAATCGGTAAAACGAACCCCCCAAAAAAAAAAACTATGGAAGGAATCATGAACAATATTTATTTATTATTTCCGTTGTCATGAGGTCAGGAGCTAACTAATCGGTCTTTCTGTTTCGCATCATTCAAAACGTTTGAGATTAAATAATAAATGTTGCTAATAATGGTCTTTCCGGCCACAAGCGCTAATCAATCGCGTTAATTTCTTTTCTTTATTATTCGATAAAAGCATTTCTTTGAAACGCAATCCAACAAGCTTTCTGGAGCTTTCGCTTTCTTTGGTATATGCAAAAATCGTCATTTTTTGGATTGATTATCTCACTTATGTGTTTCCATCAAACAGTATGCATACGCAACGTGCGCGTATATTCATTTCTTGTAGTTAAGAAATGAAGTATAATATATAATAGTTAAGAACAAATGATACATCGCGTGATACATGCATAATATTATCTGATAAACTTTTTTCTAGTGAATTTGTTACATATTATTCACGATTATCTTATAATTTGTTTGTAAACAAAAATTTCTTTGAATAATAAGTTATTTCTATTAATATAAGAGAATGCGATTATAAATAAACTTTATCTAAATTTTATAACTGCAATATCCTATAATGAGCAATCACTTGTGTAATCCTACACGCTTATATTATATAAGAAATCGTCGTCAATGCGCAGTCGAATGTTTTTATTCTCATGTGGCATCGACCGCAATACGAACCAATTAATTGTGCACGTTACACAAACAAAATTAGAATTGTAGCATTTAATGCATTTTTTTTTAAATGGCGACAAAAAATGAATTAACATAAATAATGTTTATTTTATATATTATTTTATATATTAAATAACGAAAATACTAATACTCACATCTTTTTTTGAACTGGAGAACCGTTCCACCAATGGAATAAAACAGAAAGACCAGATTTTCTTCTTGTAGGGAATGACGAGCCTTTATGCACACACGCTTCCTTTTTTTTATGAACGCGCACAATCTTCTATATACTTTTGTCACGTTTTTCGTTTAGTTTTTGAAATCTTCAATAAAAAGATCTTTAAAACTTATATTTGATAAATCTTTTTAAAATATTTAAAATAAACACATCATAATGTCTACCAAAATATTTTATTTCTTAGAAATCAAACTAATTTTAATCAAACTAAATTTGAAATCAAACTAATAAAAAAAAAATAATAATAAAAGTTGAAATAAAGTAAAATAAAACAAAATGAACGAATGGTGTAAATTATTACCGGCATATAAACGACAAGACGGACGGCAGTATTCACGTGGCGAAAACGAAGCAATGCATCGTTTGTGCCAATCTCTTAAAATGTCACGAACTTTTAGTCATTTTTTTTTATTTGTTAAGTTACACTTACGGATTTATTACCGTAGAATTTGTTAAACACAAGAAGATATTGGAGGTGGATACCTCGGTCGTTTACGCGATTCACGCGATCTAACCTCCTACACTTTCTGACTGCGTCTGAAAGCACCGGCGCGAGTGTCATCCAACAGTACATCGTCGACAAGCCGGTATTTTCCTATTACGCATGCGCTTCAACCTCGTGCATTTCACGTGATTTTGCCGGATCTACGAATCAGAAGGCTTCTAGTCCACGTGTTTGCATTCTTATACTAAGCTCGGTGACAAGAGTCGTTTCGTAGACTAGAAGATACAATAGCAAAGAAGAAAAGAACGGGGTAATAATGTCGGCAATCATTGAATAATCAATTTTTACCTGAATTTTTATTATATCTCATCCGGACATTCCCTAAAAATAAAATTTAGAAATATTAATAATAACAAATCATGTGATCGTTCTACTTTATATTATCTGAATGTGTTAGATAATAATTTTTTGAAACATATTCTTGAATATAATATTAAACTAATAGATATTTAGATTTTACTTTTTATTTTGTCATAAAAGTTTCTATTTTATATTTGATAATTTATTATATATTATTATATATTAGAATTTGAATTTATAATAAAATTTATATTGTTAAAAATGTTTAAACATGGTACCAAATGTTAAGTTTACATTATTTAGAAAAATATAAGAATAAAATAATATATGTACCATAAAAATATGATACATATATTACATGATAGCATATTTTATTTATTTGTAGATAAATCGTTCTATAACGTAGAATCGATATAATGTAGATATTTTGTTGTCATATTTAAATGTATTCAAAGTATCTTTTGAAACTACAGAGATATAATCTAATCTATGATTCAAAAATCATGAATCATAAAATAAGCTAAGATTTTGTTTTGTTGATTATATTATACAATTTGTAAAACGTAATTTACATTATTTATCATAAGAATAAGAAGGGTTTAAAAATGACATGTAAACATAATTATAAACATAATATTACCTTATATTCTTGATAAAATAAAAGCATCTATGACGTATAACTTTAAAAAATGTATACGAATTATTTAATGATCAAAATAAAATCACTTTTTTCATTGCAATATATGCAAACATAAATATTAATGAGCTCTTTTGGTAATAGGACACTTAGCCACAGTAAAACTTTCATCAGTATAAAACTTTCTATTATTCTGTAGCTTGTTCCGTTAAGTCTATTGTCATAAGCGACATTAGAAATGAAAATTTGATATATTTAAAATATCTATACAAAGAAAAACCATTAATTTGATATTTTTCTTTCAATTATTTTCTTTTGCATATTTTTTTATGATTTACGTTTATTTAAACGTAAATATATATATTTTTTAAATTTAAAATAAGAAATGAAGCGAAAACGAAGAGAAAAAAATATAAAATCGATATAACATTTTTTTCTTTCTTAAAATCAGTCTATCTTTTTACAGTCAAAGCATAATAATTAAATACGCTCATTGACTGTCGAATACAGTAAATACAAGAACAAAACTACTTCACGTGTCAGTTTACAATACTTGATTACTTCATGTCTTCGTGTAAGATCGCAGAATTAACAAATGTTGATTTGTTGCATCAGTTTCTTGAGCACTTTTTATCGAACACATATTCAGTATATATACCCATAAATAAAACCGTCACCTAAATAATTATTAAGAGTCCGGATACCGTAAAAAACATCTATTTTCTTGTACTTCACATTTTAAATTTGCATAATTCTTTTTTTCTTTTTTATTATGAAATATCTCCATATTGAACACATAAACATAAGAATAATATCAATCAAAGCAAAATTTTTTTTTATTATCTAAAGAGATTAATTTAGCAATAAATATAAATAAGAATACTTTTCTATTTATTAGAATATTAAATTCATTCTTTTAAATTCATTTCTTTCTTTTATATATTATATAAAATATATAAAATCCTGATATATTGATTAATTTATTTAATCAATATATATTGGTATTAATAATATTGACATTAAAATATTTCGATTTTATTTTTAATTTTAATGTTTATACGATCATAGACGTACAAGAAAAGAGTTGATTTCGTTGTGTATTTAAGAAATGAAAATATATACTTGCTATAAAAATTGAACAAAAAAATATAACATATATTATTCATCACCTGAGAAAGAAAATCCAAACTTATAGGTAAAGAAATAATAAAAACGCGAATGTCATCGATGTGTATCGTGAAAAAGAAAAAATGTACGTACAATAAAATATATATTTATATACAGTATTCGAAATTATGAGCTTATAGGAACCCTGTTGATAATGTCGATAACACGAATGAATTTATTCTATGTCCGAAATATCAACCGAATATATAAAATACATATTATATATGTACATGTTAAAGGTAAAGTCCAAAATTCAATTTAAAGTGAAAATTTGAATTGAATTTTATGCGATGAAACGAAGATTTCTGTGCGATTTGAATACTAAATATAATACCATTCGTTGTATTAATTATTTTAATTAATCTAACCGTGAACGGAGTCATCTATAATTCGATTCAATTAATTCGTTTTGATATTAGAAAGATATTTCTTCACATACACACGTAACTTCATTAATAAATTGACTCCATTCTATAAATTGTGCTCATAATTATATTATTCTGAAAACTTATATATATAATTTTTACTTATTTACAAATTAAATATTTGTCCACAGACTTTACCTATAACGCATGTAATTGAAGTAATTGCTTTAACCAGCATAATTATTTACTTCAAAATTGACAGAGATATAGAAATATTATATCTTTTTTTTTCATTAAACTTATGATTTTTTTAAAGATATTTTATATCACACTGGAATCAACTGACAAATAGATGTGATAATTAAAACATTGTTCCGTATGTAGTAATATAAAGATAAACATACGTTCATCGACACATAAATTTACATAAAAAATCATGCTGGTCTTTGACATATTCTAATTCATACTGATATATGTACACTGCAGTCAATATACATCAATAATCAGGCATGTATACGATTGCATGGTCGAATTAGACCAGTATATTATCACAAAATAAATGCTAAAAATTAAATATCCTATCAATTGTCTTATTTTTCTTTCAATATTAAATGAATAGATTCGATTTATATACGTAGGTCATTCAATAAATAAGTTATCTTTTCCCATTTTTTTTTTAAAGAGATATAGAATTGTTACTAGCTATATTGACAATATTATTTTAATTACAACAATTTAATTAAAATAATTAAGGATGAAACATAAAAATATAACAAATATATCCAAATTTGAGATATATGCTATAAAATTCTTGATAAAAAATTATTCCTAACATGTTTTTTATCATTCATTCGATTTTTATGTATTTTTTCGAAAACATATGATCGCATAAAAATCATGTATATTAATATAAGAATCATCTTAACGTGAAATCGGATGCTAATTTTTTAAAGAAACAAAATTAAATTTAAATAGTCTCTCATAAAAATAAATAAATAAATAAATTCATTTTTTTTAAGGGAAATAATTTACTTATTGACTAGTCCACGTATATCATTGAAATTCACCTATCACTGTATTATAGATTCATTCGAATTATTTTCTCTATTTCATTTAAAGAAGATAAAAAATGGAAGAATTGATTCCAAAATGAAATCATAATTTGTTTTAACCAGATTCAAGACAAAGTGTTACACGTTCGAGGTCTTTGGCAGCAACAAAGACTTCGCAATCTTGCCGCTGGGCTAGACTCTTCTGATCACCGTTCTTCGACACTTTCGTTTCCACCATTTTCTTGTTGAGGTCTCGCTATTTGGTATGTGATAAGATATTCTGGATATGCTTGTTCACCTCTATAGACAACATATTCAGGGAAAGCTAAACCACCTTGAGATGGTCTACCCATTACGCTATGGTGTCCGGGTGGTGCATGAGCCATTTTCATTGCAGAGAATTGCAGAAATGATTTGCCGAGTGTGACACGACAGAGTAATAAATGTCTATAAATATTATGTAATAAAAATTTAAAGAATAATAATAAAAATTAAGTAGTTCAGAAATAATAAAAATTACTTGTTTTTTTATATAAACAACTGACCTGTGACAGATATAACAACTTCGATCTTTATGAGCAGGACAACCAGTACCACCACATATTCCATATACATATTGATTACTTTTGCTACTATGCTCAGCAAAATAAATTCCAGCGCCAAACATACCGCCAATATACGCATGTCGTTCATCGAAACCCTTTTGAACGATGGCATTAATAAATGGACTACCATGAAATAACATTCTCTCATTTGCTTGTGGTAAACTCGATCCAGGAGTAGTCCTAGATCCAGTACTTGGAGAAGAAGGTGCTGCAGCACCAACTTCTTCAGCTACTTCTTGTCTTCTATGCGCATAACGTTCCCATAATTTACGATTTTGCACTTTTTGTATCTATTTCGAAAAAAATTATAAACTGATTATTAATTATTACTATTATATTATTATTATAGTATTATTATTAATTTTAAACTTAATAAGATATAATAATGTTACATAGATTATAAATAAACAATCTTATAATTTAATTTAAAACGTACCCTAACTATGTTATATCGAGAAAATATACCGCCAGAATGACCATTATCTCTATGTTGTCTAATTGTACTTTGCATTTCTTCCTCAACAGCTAGAAATTCTTTATCCTCTGCT